AGTGAGCGTGAGTTTGTATAAAAACTGGTACATTCTCAGATGCTAAGATGCAAAAATTAAAACGTGATGTTTAACACATTACTGCAGATCATATGATTGGGAATAGGCTCTTACCTTCTCTCTCAGAACTTGAAACAAGTTTAGCAAAAATACCACACAAATAAGCAGTGGTTCTCAAATAGTCTTAATGTGTGTATATTCACAGGTTCATGAAATATAATAAAAATATAAAAATAATTTTATATTAATTTCATTTAACTTTAATGAATTTTCCCCAACTCTAATATTAAAAACATTAAAAGAACTTAAATTTTAATGGCAAAAGTTACTGGTTTCCCTATCTATTAAAAATTTTTGTTTTATTTTTACATATCTAGCATTTACAACTAAAGTACATTTTTATAAGAACTGGCATCTTGATGTATATGGGTCTGAAATGATAATTCATCTTTGATCTTTAATTTGAATTAATAAGACCATGATAGATTTTTTTTAAATTTTACTTTTAAACCATTTTAGTGCGCTATTATATCTGTTCTAGTACTCTGAGTCACTTTGGTTTTAAAAACTACCTATTTATTTATGGTACCATGTCAAGAATTTCTTAATGTTAAAAAATACTGTATGTATGTGAGGATGTAACAAACCAGAACAGTTCCTAGATCGGGGAGGGTTCGGATTAGCGTTTACTAAGAGGGCAAGAAGAACTGAACTTTGTACTTCAAAAGGAGATTTTGATTTTATGAGGTGCTGGTCATATAAGTTGTTTATTTTTATTTTATCAAAGCCTGGCAGGTGTTTGCATTCCAATTTACCTTACAGGGAAGCTTCTTTTCTAAAAATTAGTTTTTAAAATGAGTGATGAATTAATTCGATAGGAAATGACATTTATAAATATTAGTTTTCCTTTGAGATAAAATAATATAAGCCAAACTTTCTGAAGTTAAGGGTGACGCATAATATTACAACTTGTCGTATGTTGTGTTTGTAAAGGTTCCCTAAAGTATTAAAATTCAGGCAATTTGTGTAAATTGCAAAAGCAGAAACTGTGATGTTTGTTTAGTAGTATGCTGTGTTAGAATTCTATTTTGAGGTGTATGTTACACACATAGCAAACTATTATTCAGACTTGCTCATCCTGTATTTTTTAAATAGGAGATACAGCATCCCAAGTCATTTTTAGTTCAGTTAGCCTACAAAGACTTCATCTCTCTCCCCAAATTCTCTCTTCCAAGCCTTCTTTGTCATCTATGTGCAGTTAAGGTGGAAATGTTTACAGACTTTAGTTTGTAAACTAAAAGTGAACTTAATTTCCATTGTGCCCTTACATCCCCCATTGGCAGTAGCCAAAGCTAGCTTTATAGTCTAACAGGAGAGACCATGTTCTGCCATGATGAACCGTGGTGCTGCCAGTGGAGTTTTTTCCCCTTTTGATGGTTTTACTGAAGCTACTAAATGGATATACACAAGCAGCTGAATTTACACTAAAACTATGAAATGGTATTTCCCGTCTATGTCCGTGCCTCTTCAAAATTGGATGTGTGGGTTTTTTTAAATCATTTTTCACTTCCTTGTCAATCTCTTATAGTGTTCTAATGATGAGAGGGATTCAAATAAAACTAAATACATTTGAATATCCCTTCCCCTCTCACACACTGAAGGCTGTGGAGGAACTAGACTATTTCCTGTTGCCAAGACATGCTTAGACACCAGGCTTTTCTTTACTCGGCGGCATGCTACCCCCGGCCTCACCCACACCACCTAACTTAAGAGAGTCCCGACCTCAACCTCTACTGAGACGTAAAGGTAAACTCTTCTCCCTCCAGGACTTTTGAGCAGTTTTTTGGCACTTCACCAGTAGCCCTCATTTTCACATGTGCTGTTGTAAACTTCTTAAGGACAGGGATGATGTCTTGGTGATTTTTGTGCTTCCACCTCAACCCTGGCAGCTAGCCCACTGTCTGGAACAAATCAGGTGTTTAATGTCTGTCAAACTAAATGGAATAAAGGGTTTCTACTAGCAACAGCATTTCTCATGCCTCAGTTGTGTAAGCTGGTTGTTTGTTTGGTTTCCTCTGCAAATATGTATGTTTATCACCCACCCAATAATTTAAATTATTTTTTTAAGTTTTGTTTCCTTTCCTTCAGATACTACCCCATGGCCAATTAGCTCTGGAAAATGTAGTTGCCGCCAATGAAAAATTATTTTTTCAAGTTTTGTTTTCTTTCCTTCAGATACTACCCCATGGCCAATTAGCTCTAGAAAATGTAGTTGCCGCCAATGAAATGATTATCCCAAACTCTGCCCCTGGTTATACTTTGCCAAACTGAAATTTGAATTTTCTCAATAAATTGGTCATGTCTGAAAAAATATATAAATTGTAAACATTAAGATAAAAATATTATCCAAGATTCAGGTCAATATTTTCTTTAAAAGTTAAACATAAATTTACCATATAGCTCAGCAATTTCATTCATATATTTCTACTCAAGAGGAATGAAAATACAGGTACAAAGATGTGTATGCAAATATTCATAGCAGTGTTATTCACAATAGTCAAAAATTGGAAATAATCCAAGTGTCCATCAACTGATGAACAGATAAGTAAAACATGATATATCCATACAACAGAATATTATTTAGCAAGAAAGAGAAATGAAGCACAGATATATAGCTATAACATGGAAGAACTTCAAAAACATTATGCTTGGTGAAAGAAGCCACATACCAAAGATCACATATTATATGATTCCAGTTATATGAAATGTTGAGACAAGTAAAATCTATAGAAACAGAAAGCAAATTAATGTTTGCCTGGGACTGAAAGTGAGAAAGGAGAGTGATTACAAATGGGCAAGAGGGGGGACTTCCCTGGTGGTGCAGTGGTTAAGAATCCGCCTGCCAATGCAGGCGACACAGGCTTGAACCCTGGTCCAGGAAGATCCCACATGCCGCAGAGCAACTAAGCCCGTGTGCCACAACTACTGAGCCTGTGCACCACAACTACAGATCCTGTGCGCCACAACTAATAAAGCCCATCTGCCTAGAGCCCGTGCTCCGCAACAAGAGAAGCCACCACAATGAGAAGCCTGTGCACTGCAATGAAGCGTAGCCCCGGCTCGCCGCAACTAGAGAAAGCCCGTGCACAGCAACAAAGACCCAATGCAGCCAAAAATTTAAACATTAATAAATAAATAAATAAATTTATTTTTAAAAAATGGGCAAGAGGGATCTTTTTGGAGTGTCAGAAATGTTCGAAAGTTGTATTATGGTGATGGTTGCATGACTCAATAAATATACTAAAAATCACTTGATAGTACACTTGAAACAAGTGAATTTTATGGTATGTCAATTATATCTCAGTAGACCTGCTTAAAAATAATCTACTAAGGTACACAATATGAACAGATCTTAAGTGTACAACTCAGTGAATTTTAACATGTATACACCCATGTAACCAGTACACAGATCAAGATACAAAACTTTTTTAGCAGGCCAGAGTTTCCTTGTACCCTTTCCTAATCATAACGCACCATCTTCCTCCACAAGAGTGGTTACCATTAACTTGTTCTATATCATCTGGATTCATTTTGTCTATAGTGAAACTACAATGTTTCTTTTGCTCAACATAATGTCTATAATATTCATCAAGGTTGAAGCTGATAGCAGTAGCTCATTCTTTTTTATTGTTGTGGAGTATTCCATTGTATAAATATTCCACAATTTGTTTGTAAATTCTTCTGTTAAAGAACATTTAGGTTGTTTCCAGTTTGGGGCTATTATGAGTAAAGCTGCAATGAACATTATTTTAGATGTCTGTTGGCAGACGTATGCACTCCTTTTTCTTGGGTACCTAGCTAAGAGTAGAAATGCTGATTCATGAAGAAAGCAAATGTTTAACTTGGGTAGAAACTGCCATAAGATTTTCCAAACTCTTTAAACAAATTTCCACTCCTACTAACAATGTCTAAAAGTCCCAGCTGTCCTACCTCCTCACCAATAGCTGGTATTGTCAATCTTTCTAATTTTAGCCATTCTGCTAAAATTACATTGTGTACATAGTGTGTAGGAGTATCCTGGCATGGCTCTAATTTGCATTTCCTAGATTAAGAATGAAATTGAGCATATTTGCATATACTTCCTGACCATCTGGTTATCTTCTCTGATGAAGTGCCTGTTCAAGGTTTTTGTCCATTTTTTAACAGGTTATCCGTCTTTTTTCTTATTGCTTTATAGAAGTTCTTTATTCTAAATACAAATCTTTTGTCAGACATATATACTACAAATATTGTTCCCCAATCCGTGGCTTGCACTTTCTCTCTCTTAATGGTGCCTTTGATATACAAAAGTCCATAATTTTAATGAAGTCCAATTTATCATTATTTTCTTTCATAGTCTGTATTTTTTATGTTCTGTTTAAGAAATCGTTTGTGTATGCCAAGGTCATGAAGCCATTCTCCTGTTTTCTCCTACAAACTTTATCGTATTACCTTTCCCAATTGAGTGTTTGATCACTAATCAAATTAATTTTTGTATATGGAGTCACAGTTCATTTATTCCCCATAAAGATACCCACTTGATACAGTACTGGTTATTGATATGACTATCTCTTCCCCACAGGACTGCAGTGCCATTGTGACCATAAATCAGGTGACTATATCATACATGAGTCTGTTTCTGGACTCTATTGTGTTCCATTATCCCATTTTTTCCTTGGCAAATGCTACTGACTTTGATAGTAATCTTGAGCTAGGGAAGATTTTAATGCACAATTTGTTGTAGAACTTTGTGAGCTGTTCTTGTAAGAGAGACAAATGCCAAAAATTAACTATTTCAAGTCCTATATGTCATCAAATACCCATTCTGAAGCAGATAATTTTTTTTAATCAGCAAAATGAAAACCTGAATATTTTTCACCACAAAAGGCTTAATGAAATCTACAGGATCTCTTTATGTTAACTGCAGATAGCTGCTGAAGCCCAGAATAAAAATGGCTTACCTGAGTAAGATAAATAGTGTCTTTGAACTTGCGTAATTGATCTGCACTTTGGGGGAGTTTGAAGTGAAGCTCAGCCTGGTGAAGCATTTTATAGTTACCATCTGTGAAATGCTGTCTATGATGTGCAAATTTGCTTCCGTAAGACCAGTCCTCTTTAGATGAAACCTTTCAAGTAAAGAATAAGAGGTTCAAATTGGGAAGTTAGGAATGAAACTACTTTTCTCCATACTCCTGACAAACTTGAAAAGTACTACACACTGGAAAAGAGCTTGAGGTTTGTTGTGACTCTAATTTCACACATGTTTTTGCCATCATACTTGTTATTAGTGAAAGACTAGCCTTATTCAAACCTAGAAAGTTACATTTTGGTATTGCCATCAAAAGTCTTGCCTCATCAAAACATTTTTCTCGGGGCTTCCTTGGTGGCGCAGTGGTTAAGAATCCGCCTGCCAATGCAGGGCACACGGGTTCGAGCCCTGGTCCGGGAAGATCCCACATGCTGTGAAACAACTAAGCCCGTGCACCACAACTACTGAGCCTGCGCTCTAGAGCCCGCGAGCCACAACTACTAAAGCCCGCGTGCCTAGAGCCTGTGCTCCGCAACAAGAGACGCCACCACAATGGGAAGCCCGCACACCGCAATGAAGAGGAATTCCCTCTCACTGCAACTAGAGAAAGCCCGCGCACAGCGAGGATCCAACGCAGCCAAATATAAATAAATAATTTTTTAAAAAAAACATTTTTCTTGTTTTTTTAAATGTTTGTTATGTGCATTTTAAAAGGTCATTTTATCGAAGTAAATAAACTGTCAAAACTGAATAATGAACTGAAATCAACATTCTTTTAAAACTGTCAATTCTTTAACAGTAATATCACTAGTAAAATGGTAAATGCTTAGCACTTGCTCATTTGCTTCTCAGTGATTACTAAATATATTTGATATATACACGTTTCATTTTGATATAGTTGAAGATACAAACAAAACAATGATACTTCTTTCCCCTAATAATAAATCTTTTTTTTTTTAACTTACAGAATCTTTCTTTTCCTTTGAGAAGCTATCATCAGGTCAAGTAAAAAATAAAACCAAAAAACAAAAATAAAAATAAATAAATAAATAAAAACAAATACCACACAGGTTAGTAGTGTACCTTCTACAGGAGAAAAAAAAAAAAGCAATAATTCTGGCTTCTAGGCCCTATGATTTAATGAACTGTTAGCATTTGACAAAGATATAAGACAATTGCTGGCTACATCTGAAAATATCAGTTTTAAGCCAAGTTACACAGAGACTTTGAAAAAACATATTCCACTCCACCCTCAAAAAACCCTGAAAATTAGGAAGCTTAATAATCCCTGTTCATAAAATGTGACTTAGAATTCTCAGTAATCATGCAATGCACAGACCAATCACCTTAAAAGGAAAAAGTTATTCTTTAGGAATTGATTTATACCAAAATATAAGCAACATACATTAGCCATATTTAATGTGGTAGTTTTTCCAAATTGTATTTAGTTTTTGAAAATGTTACCACCAGACAGTTTAGAGAACACCAATTACTTCTATTATTTATTTGAAACTGAGGTATAGTATTTACAGTCATCTTGTACACATTTGAGATGTGCAAAGCTTTAGCAATAGTCTTCCCTTCTTTCTATGCTTCTTCCTTTTCAAAATCTGAAACACATCTCCTGGCCTCTCAGCCCTCTGGCTGCTAATAATTTGAATGTATCCCATAATCATAAACCTGATCTGTTATGTGGGAAGCTTTCTACCTTCTGATAGCTATGGCTTGAAATTCTTGTAAATTTCAGCTATAACAATGTTACCAGAAGGAATTAGAAAGTGTTAGATAATGGGGCTTCCCTGGTGGCACAGTGGTTGAGAGTCCGCCTGCCGATGCAGGGCACACGGGTTCCTGCCCCCGGTCCAGGAAGATCCCACATGCCGCAGAGCGGCTGAGCGCGTGAGCCATGGCTGCTGAGCCTGCGCGTCCGGAGCCTGTTGCTCCGCAACGGGAGAGGCCATGACAGTGAGAGGCCCATGTACGTCAAAAAAAAAAAAAGAAAGTGTCAGATAAGGCTCTAATTGCTTTAAGAATATTAACTCATTTAATCATCATAACAACCCCATGAGTGGGTACTATTATCACCCTATTTTACAGATGAGAAAACCAGGCACAGAAAGGTTAAGTAATTTGCCCAAGATCCAAAGCTAATTAGTGCAGTCTAGCTTCGTATAAACCATATGACTAGCATTGCCTATATTAATAGTAACAATAGCTTACATTTTATGGGCTCATCACTATGTGTCAAGAACTGTGCTAAGTGTTTCAACGTACTAATTAACTTAATGTTTACACACCATCACATGCACACATGCATACCTGCATGTGCACACACGTACACAAACACTCCTTGAAGTATCTACTACTATTAACCCCAATTTACAGATGAGAACACTGAAATTCAAAAAGAATAATCTTTTCAAGGCAGTATAGCTAGTGTGTGGAAGTTCTAGTATTCAAATCCTGATCTGTTCATTCCAAAACCCAATCTTTCTATTGCTGTATATTGATGATCACCTGTTGAAAATATGATTATTTTACGAAGAAGTAATGTATCCCAACCAGAGAAAGACATTTTAATATATTTGTTGAATGCATGAAAAAAAAGGCTCTAAATAAGAATGAAGATTTTACTTAAAGGTTTTCTTTTCCCAACACCTACTCAAATTCTCCACTAAGCAATGTAGTTCGAAAAGAGGCAACAATCAAATCAAGGGTTCATAATAAACAGGACTTATCTTTATCTTTCCCTTTTTTAAAATATAGT